AAGAAGACAAGGGATGTCCTACCATCTGTTATAAACCCAGCAAATCATAAAAACGGACAGATCCCAAGAAAAACAGTCTCAGTGTGTAGTGTGTGCACGAGAGGCTGGGGGAAGAGAAGCGGTGAAGGAAGCATCGTGTACCCCCTCTTCCTCCACTAGCACAACAGCCGCACATCTCATTCCAGGTATCGGGGAGGTACAGAAATGAAGATGAAGGAATCTCAAGGATTAAAACCCTTTTTCTAAGTGCTGTGGGTGTGTGGGGGGGAGAGGGAGGATGCCTGATGGAGACAAGAACAGCATGCTCACAAACTCCAACGGCAGCTAGCACTTCAGTCTCAAAATGGCGGGGAAAAGACCTCTACAAGGGCAACCAACAGTTTCTTTCGTAGCTACTCACCGGTCCGGGAGTGTGCATCCTGTAAGAGGTCAGGGCTGTGGACTGGGGTGCAGGAAGCTGCTTGAAAGACCACGTGACTGCGCCTGCTGCCGTTTCTGCATTCCTCTAGATGGCGCTCCTGCAGGCCATGGGCAGCCCAGGGGCCCACAGAGCGTGTCAAGAGCACACAGGGCCGGCGGCACCCGTGCTTGAGAAGGGCGGGAGGGAGGAGACAGAGCACATGCCGCAGGAGCAGGACACTAGAACTGGTACAGAACGGCACGAGCAGGCGCTGGCTGCTAGAGTGATGCGGGAAACTGAGCACCTCACATTTGTCCCTCTGCCCTGGTGACTCTGGAATATGCCAGGTGCCACACGCCATTCGCTCCTGAGCGACACCGGCTGATGCGTATCCCCATCCCGTTGTCTGCTGAGACGGGAACTCTATTCAAGTCGTCGTAACCTTCCCATTGGCTGACCCTTTGTGACAATGATGGCCACGGAAGTATCGAGAACAGAAAGGAAACCCCTGAGGCCTCAGGGGAGCGGGCAGGGCCGGCAGGGCATCTGGCGGTGAGCAAGGGGGGTAGGGGTGGGGAGCCATCTTGGCCGGGGGGTCTCGCTGTGGTCTCCGCCCAAGGCGGAGCAGGGTGGCACTGGATGGAGAAGGTTTCAGAGAACTTCGAAGTCAGACACTGGGCACTCATCAGAGCCTTCCGTTTCAGAGCTGAAACGGCTCCAAATCCTTTCTTCCCCTCTGCGAGGACATGAATACTATGTCATTATTTTAGTTTACCGAATCCCTGTTCCAAATGTTCTTGGGAGCATTAGTGCTAAAAGAGAACAAGGGATGGGAGCTCTGCTATTTTCAATCACATAAAGGACAGAAATCCTCTTAATTATGACCATGCCACTCTACATCCTGCTAACACAGCTAATTACATGTCAGGAGGACACTCAGTCATTCAGAACAATTGCCGTTATATTTTTATATATTCATCCTATGCCACCCCCCTCAATTACCATGGTTACAATTGGAAAAGATTCAGCCAAACCTCCATCTGATCATAGCACACCAGCAGGAATTTGTGAGTTAATTATGGCTGTGTGGAGCCAGTCTTATTTAAAAGAGAGGGGGGAACATGCAGCCAGGGGCGCCTGCCACCCCGGATTTGTCCAGCGTGCTGAGCTGCCCAGTGCTAGGTGCAGACGGCTCCACCACAGGCCTCAGGCGGTACTGCTGCCACACCTGGGGAAACCCTAGGCAATGGCCAGGCTGCGTGCAGATGGGGCAGACCCATTGCGATCATGCCTCTGCCTGGGGTGGGGCAGGGAGCGTGGGGCCGGGAGGGGAGGAGACAAGTGACACAGAAAGACTTGTGGAGCTCACTTGAATGCAATCAACCAGACTTAGTTCTCAAATACCAAAAGATGGCAAGGGGGGTGGAGACGGACACACAGCAGCTCGGCGACTCTCATAGGACATGCACGTTTGTCATTTCAAAGCAACTACCATACAGGTGTTCCTCACGCTCTTCTCTCCTGCCTCTTCTCTCAAGTTCAAGAAGCTGCACTCTTCAGATTGTTCGCCTTCCTTTTTTGCTGCAATTTCTCATCCCCACTAAGAAAGAATACTGAAGCAGAGATGGCAGCTTCTCAGCGTAAACAGCTGCATTTCTGGGCACGTTGTCTACAAAGAGCTTCTCTCTCAGTATGAATACGGGCATCCACCATAGCCTTTCCCAGCACGGCTTACCTAGGAGACGAGTTTCCACAATCAGAAAACGGACTTATTGCATGGTACAGCTCCAGCCTTTTGTACGTCTGTTAGCTCTCCTGACAGCAATAAGGCAACCTCTCTCAAGTGAGAGGCATCTTGAATCCAAGGGTTTGTAAAGAAGACCATGTGATAGGAAGAAAAAAAGGCCTCTGCTTTGACAGTGTCACCATGAAATACCTAAACCTAAGCTGGCCCTTCACAGCTCACCTCGGAGAGCCTTCCTCCCTCACCACTGGTACCCAGACAACGTGAGCTACACTCCACGGAAAGCCAGCAGCAGTGAAGAGGTTTTCAGGCATGACAGCTCAACTTGCCACATTCAATATGGCGGACAACAGATGATCAAATCCTGAGTAAGTAGCGTAATTTGAAGAGCACAGAGAAGGAAGGAATGATGTGATGTGACACCCACCCCTCTCCCAGTGGTACCTTCCTGCCCCTCAGTCATCCCCCCTTAAAGATACCAGCAGAACTGCTGGCCCAAGTGCCTGACCTTCACTTGGGAAATTTTGACAAATCAACCTGGCTCAGTAAAGCTATAAACAGATGTGGCTGGCCTTGATACAGCCACAATAAATACAGTAGTAAGACATTACGAATAACCACAACAAAATGTCAAACTCTATTACTATTCTGGCTTAAGTTTTGAGCCACAGAGACCAACAAAGAAATGGACGCACAGCAGAGGAGCTCGGGATGGTTCTAGTGCAGGCTGAGTATGAGATTATCAGCCACACACACACACAAAAAAAAGCTTATTGCCTAAGGAGTTGTGAAAACTCATGGGGAGGAAAAGACAAAAGGCAGTTTTAAAACGGAGGCATGAGTTACACGGGAACCCTAATTCTAACCAAATCCTTCTTAAGACCAGAGACAGTAAGAACTTGAAGTTCACATTTACCAGCTGTGCAAAGGAAACAATTCCCTCCGTGATGCAGACACGCTAGGGCTGGCCAGTGCGGAACGGAGCTGGCCATCGTGGGATGGAGTGTTCATATTCAAAGAGGGACCATACCCACCCGCTCTTCCTGCTGCCAGAGAGACAGAATCTCAGCACAGTCAACTGGCATCAAGGCTGCAGTGGCGCAGCTTAGAGAAACCTAGAGCTGTCAGAGGCAGAGGGACAGCACAGTCCTGACAGACGATTGCTCTGCTCCGTGACTGTGACTGGACTCCCCAAGTGAGCTTCTAGACAGACAGTCAGAGGCCAAGGAAAACACAGAAATGATTATGACGCTAAGTTCTTCATGAGTCCTCCCCTTTGAGGTAAAAGTCTGTCCAGACATTTGGACCACACAGGGATGTGGCTGAATCAGAAATCTTCCAGGAACGAACCACTGGATTCACATACTTTGGTATTAATGGGCTGCTTCCTCAAGTAGGATTTTTTAGGAGTCATCTCTATTGAGCAGGGGTAATAGATGAAAGGGGCTTTCTATCTCCCAGGGCCAGGTTCCCTCTTCTCCCTGATAGGGTAATTCAACATGGTAAGTTCTGTAGAAATAGCCCAAAATGTCTCCTTGTACAAAGGGCATAGGTCTCAGGTCAGAGTGTTCTGCTTTGTGCTCCCCTGGCCTCCCTGGCTTCCCTCTGTTGGTAAGGTTATATTCAGACCAGCAGAAGTCTCCAGGGATGGCCCATCTTTAAAAGGTCCTATGTAATTAATGTTCTTAAAGGTTCAGAAAGGTTACCCACTGGGATGCCAAGGCACCTTTGCCAAGTAGCAAACTCCATGAACGCCCATGCACTTTTCAAACCCCTCCTTGGCTAGGAAGGCACAGCCTCAGACTGATGTTTGGGCTGAAGTAGACACAGAAGCGAGAGCAGGGGCAGCAAGCAAGCAGCACTGAATGTGGGTTCTGCAGCGTTTGGCTCTTCTTTTAGTGATAAGAAAATTTTAGTTTCTTTTTTCTTTTTTTGGTGTGCCTGTCCTGGGGCTTGAACTCAGATCCTGGACACTGTCCCTGAGCTTTTGTGCTCAAGGCCAGTGCTCTACTACTTGAGCCATACCCCCCCCCCCCTTTCTGGCTTTTTGGTGGGTAACTGGAGATAAACGAATTTCATGCACTCTCCTGCCCAGGGGGCTTCAAACTGTGTTTCTCAGATCTTAGCCTCCCGGGTAGCTAGGATTTTAGGCAAAAGCCATCAGTGCCGGCTAGAGTTTCTTGTTTAACACCACCCTTATACCTGAAAATGTTTAAAGAAAAAGTTTACCATCCAAAGGAATAAGACATCAAATGTGGCAATTCCACGCACCATGGCAAAAACTAACGTGGTATTGGACAACATAGAATTGGACCTAGTGACAAAGAGAAAACCAATGGGAGGTTTAAATCTTGACCCCAAAGAAGTAAATTCTTATTGTGGGTGAAAAAGTACAAGTTCCCGGTAAGGCTGAGGTCTGAAGGATGTGGGTGAGAGGCTTTCTGCCATTACCAACCCGGCTCAGTATGGTGCCATCTGCCAAGCAGCACTGCCTGCTGCACTGACCGACTCCCAGGCTCCTCTCGGCCTTTTTTCTTCGTTAAAGGTCTTACAACAGTCAAGCATTTCAGCTCTTCTGTGGCACTCACTGAGATTCTTTAGAAACTGCGCTGTTTGAAATGTCTGAGACTGCTCCTTTAAAAACTCTAGCCAGAACAAATGACACTAGGAATCTCAGCATAAAGAAGCTATCAATTAGAATAATCTCCTTACAATAAATCATGGAGGTGACTTGTCACAGAATATATTTTTTCTTTCTCTCCTGTTCTTTCTGAGTCAACTGAGAGTAAATAGACAAAACTCCACTGAAACAGAAAGATACAGTAGTTCTAATAGAAGAAAATGAAACAAGCACAACTCAAGTTCCTAATTGAAATACAAAGTAAAGCCAAGAAAGAATATGTGAGGGGGTATGGGTAGGGGGAGAAGGAGGGGAGCGTTGTCATTCCTGAGATTAACAAATGCTACTCTTGAATCTATTGACTCAAGTAATACAGAAAAAGATTGCTCCATTTCACTTAACTCTTGGAAGCTGGGAAAAATGAAGACAATTCCCCCTTCTCAAATCCACCAACAGGAGCGAGTCCAGACCCTGCCTGCATCTGTCCACAGTCACGGGTGCAGGGCAGGCGGCACCCTCTGCCCACACTGACGTAAGCAGGATTCAGAGCTAAGGGGGTAATCAAGTCACCGTGTGCCGTAAGAGCAGTGAGACCAACTAAAAATGTGAAGCTACTAGTCTACGAACAACAAAGGAAAAAAATGAGGCGGGTCAGCAGCCTCCCCACCCCCAGCCCCAAATAGTTTTAAACTTAAATATAGTTGGTGAGGGAGGAGAGGAAACAAGGAGAGGAAGTGGCAAGTTCTCTCCATTGCACAAATGGTTTCAGGTAATGGACAGAAGGACAGAAGCCCTGCTCAACGGTCTCCCCACGCTCCCCTTGAAACAAGGCCTCATCAGATGGACGGAGGAGAGATGGATGAGGCAGGAAATGCATAGCTGTGGCGCCTCTTTCGGACGCACGCTACGCCGCTACCCTGAAGGCTGTTTCCTCTTACCCACAGTGACAGTGTGTCATTTAATCAGGTCGCCAGGAGATCATTTTCATACAAGGCCAGCAGATGTAATTTTCTTTGATGCATGAGTAGTTCATCATTTTGCTACGAGATGACAAGGTGATCACAGGGTGGCTTTATAACGCAAGTTCACTGTTTGGTATTTTGAGTTCTCAAAATGAAAAAAAGATTTATCAAATATAAATATCTTTAAAAAGTAACAAAAGTGCTACATATGCGATCAAGGAAAAAAAATTCCATTAGTTACTGCCACTTAAAGTAGATTAAACGTTACAAATATTACCACATCCATTATCAATATGGCTTCCAATTGTTGAATAAATTGCCTATAGCAATATAGCTTTTCACACCTCTCCAAGGACAGAGAAAGAGACCAACACGCAATCACATCCCGTGTGTCCCGCACACCCGCAAGATACGTGGTCAATGTCCCCTGCTCTTTTGTGCTCCTAATCTGGTGAGCATTTGTATCTGCGATCGTCAGTCAGCAGGAACCCCTACACAGTCTCTGTCAGCTCTGGGTGCAAGGACTATTCTTCCGCTTACTTTTGACCTTAGCTTCATCCTCGAAAGACTTTTTTTGGTAGCAGGGAAAGGGGGTACAGACAGTAGGTGGAGCGACTTCCGTGATACCGTCCAGGACTTTTTCCCGGCAGGCACTGCTAACTGTGCCATGGAATGTACGGCGTTTCTAAGAACTGGTATTAGCATCCATTACATGTTCAGCTCACACTTTTTGTTTTTTTCCAATGCTCTCAAGCTGGGTTTTGTTAGTTTTTTTTGTTTTTTACTTTTTTATAACTTAATCTCTTCATTTTGTTTTGAATCATGGTCCCAAAGGCAGAAGGCAGTATTGTTATCTACCAAGTCACACAGCTTGTGAGAGGAAAGAACGTCTGGGTCAGTCATGTTAACAACCACCGAGATCTGAGCTAGAGTATCCACTGACATTCTTAACACAGCACCCAAAGAAGTATAGTCTAGCCACGGTGTGGCTATGAGGCACGGCTTATTGCAGCTGAATCAGCGACTCCATGCTGAGGGGTTCTGGTGCTCCATCACTCTGCGAGTGCTCCCCAAATGGCGTCTGTCTATCCTGTGCCACTACCTCAGCTTGCATCCGGTCAGTCTTGGGGCAGAAACAGGGGGTACAGACCAGTGTGACAGGAATCTAAAGGTACCCGAGATTTTACACACAGCCTAATATTTGAGGACTGAGGGTTATCTAAACACCTGGAAGCACTTTCTTAGAATGCTAAGACGGAGCAGCAAGATTTTCTAGCCTCGGGGCTGGGAGAGGGGCATCTGGTTGGTTGGTTGGTTATTATTACTGGGATTTTAATACTGAGAGAGTATATGCAAAGGCTGAGGGCACCATGCCATCTTCACAGAACAAGACCCTAACGGCTACCTGACATACAAGAAACTGCAAGTTATACTGTAAGAACACATGTTAAGGACCGAGGAAAGTCTGCTAAGGTGCTACGTCTAAACTAAGTTAACTTGTCACGTTTAACCCTCCCTGATCAGTCATCATCCAGGGCCTCTGTCTTGATTTCGCTGGCTCCTTGGCGGGCCAGTGCCAAGATAGTATGGTTGACGGCTGCCATCTCCACAGCTAATGAGATGGGGTCTTGGTGGTCACTATGGCTCGTGCTGTCGTCCTAGATGTGCAGAAGTAAGAAACACAGGTTATTAGTGGATCAGCACAATTCTCTAGCTCACAGAAAGGCATGCAGGGGCAAGGGGAGACAGAATATCTGTGGAAGAACTGATTGGGAGCATCTTATGAGAGAGGTGAACTGTATTTAAGTAGACACTGAATGGATATAGGTCCAGAGCCTCCCCGTTGACATTTTTCTGACTTAATGAAGAAATTAAAACTCAAAATGCCTTTTCTCTGAGAATTTTACCCACTCTATCAAGAAGATTGCCGGTGGTAATTGTACCTTCAGTGATTAATATAAAATCAATAATTTGGGTGTTTACAATTAGAGCATGAGTTATTAAAGTCATGGTATTTTTCCACTAAACTGAAACAACAAGATAAAACGTAAGACCAGGCATCAACATCTTACAGGTAAGAAAAAAGAAAGACTTCTTAGTTATGGCCAAAGTGTGGCTACATAAGAAGCTAGGGGAGAAAGGGGTGGCACGCTCCTGCTAGAGGAAGATGTGTGAAGGAAGAGCCGGCATCTATTTAGAGCGGTGCCAAGTCTCCCCCCCTCCAAGCTCCACACGTTAGACAATAAAGCTGAGAAGGCGACGGGGGCTGCAGATGCATGTGAGGCAGTGAAGATGGAGTCACAAGTAGGGGGCGTGCTTCTCACCTGTCACATCCTCAGGGGAGGCTATCACAGAGCTTTGGAAGGGGTAAGTCCCCTGGGGGAAAAAGCAAGAGATGCGCTGCCCTCAGGGCATCTGCAAAGAAAGATGGAAATGATCCATCTGCATCTGTAGGCTGAAAAATGTTCCCAACTAGAAAGACTTACAGAACATTCTCTGGAGTACAAGGTGGGGCTATGATCTGGAGGAGTAATGGAAAAAAAGGAAACCCTGGGGATGTGTGGACTTGAGCAGTCTCCTTGTGAGGGCCACAGATGAGGGATCTGCACGGAACTGTGTACCGGTGCAGCGTCCGCACTCAGGCTGGCACGCGAGGACGTGCAGCTGTCGGGAGAAGGAAGAACGCGGTGGGCTCTGTGAACTGGCTGCACAGCAAGGAAAGCAAGAAAGAGGCAGCGTTTTCTTTCTGAGTCTAAGGAAAGGGACCATAGATTTTCTGCATTGTCCAAGCAGAAGTGAAACTTAAATCCTGTAAGAATTTTCAATGAACTCTGTCAACATGTGGAGGCAAAACTCCCAGTCTTCCTTACTGGATTTATTCCATGCAGTGGCTACAATTAAATACATTTTCCCCCAAGCAATGAAGAATAAACCAGGATGAGATGAGAAGACATGCGGGTGTTGCATTAAGGACAGGATGCGTGTGGCAATGTGCCAGAGACTCTGGAAGAACCACTCCTCTGGGCATGAGGGTTACCACTGCAACAGGGCTGGAGTGGGTGGGGCCTTCCATTGTGCCCTGCATTGGTCATGTTTAGGCACGGGTCACAGCTGCCCAGATGCCCCTAGTACTTCTCAAACACTGAGTGTGTGTGGTGAATGGTGTAACTTGCTTGTTTGGGTCAGATCCTCCTCTCTTCTTCTACCTTCTCTGCTTCTCTGCCTCCCTCTGAACTTCTTCCCTCCTCCTCCTCCCCATTGCGTACTTGCCAAGTATCCTGTTGTATGACAATAAATCCAGGTGGGTGAATAGCGATTTCTCACAAATTCAACAGGACAACTGAATCTTACCACATTCCTTTAAAATTACATGACAGTCTAACTAGACACATGAGCAGAGTGGAGGACACTGGCTCATCCCCTCCCCAGCCCCGCACAACCACACCCCTGCACTTGAGTCAGTAAACCACCCCCTGCTCAGTAGCTAGGAGCTTCCGCCCAGCTGCCCGCCCTCACCTGCTCTGAGTAGTCGTTGCCATCAACGTCATCGCTGTTGGAATGGCCTCCAGGACTCTGTACGTCTATCCCATGACTCTCCAGGATTGCTGCTTCTTCGAAAAAAGCAAATAGATCCCTAAATTATCTGTTACCTTATTCTGACAGAAACCTAGATTTTCTGTTGAGGTAATTAGGTTGTAAGGAAACAAGAACCTATGTTCCTTGGTATTTTGATTCTCAGGCACACATTTGCCATTCTGGAGTCCCTGCTATTAGGGACTCCAGAATTTATAGTTTACAACATGATGTACTCTAATATGGATATGTTGTGGAATGATTAAATCCAAAATTAAAATATGAAGTGTTATCTCACTAACGTTTACTGGACTCTTTGTTGTTAAGTCTCTTTCATTACAGTTTTTTTTAATCTTTTTGTTTAATGCTGGTGCTGGGGCTTAAACTAAGGGCCTAGATGCTGCTCCTTGGGCTTTTTCATTCAAGGCTGGAGGTCTCCCAACTGAGCCACATCTCTACTTCTGGCTTTTTGGTGGTTAATTGGAAGTAAGAGTATTCATGGACTTTCCTGCCCAGGCTAGCTTTGAACTGTGATCCTCAGATCTCAGCTTCTTGAGTAGCTAGGATTACAGGTGTGAGCCTCCAGCACCTGGCTGTTCCAGTTCTATAAACCAATTGTTTTCTAATATCTAAGTCAAAGCCCAGCAGTAACAAATAAGCTTGTGGTATTGCAATTCTTCTCAAGACCGACCCATGTACCACAGTAGTATCAGGGGCTGTCTAATTCTGAATTATGGGACATTAGGAACAAAGAATATTATCGAATAACAGTGTTATGATTCTTATAAAACAAGTAGTGCAAATAATACTAATTTCAGGTTATCAAAAATAAAATGAAGAAAAACATAAGGGCAACTCTTGTTAGGCTTAAAAGTTAGGCTCATTTAGACCTGAAGCTCTTAAGCTAAAAGCACCCTTAACCATGATATGGTAACTTGGTCATGAGTGCAACCTCTCTGATACATTACCGATATTGGCTCTCCTCTTGATCTCCTTCCGTCTGTTAGCAAACCAGTTATATACTTTCAGGGAGGTGACCCGTTCCAGGTCAGACAGTTTTTTGCCTGTGAATATATGCAATTAAATTCAGGTAATCTATGTCTGGAACCCAAAAATAAGAACTCGTTTAAGAGATAACAGATGCAGGGAAAATTTTCTTAGCAATATGTAGTATCAGGTACACATTCTGGTATTACTCAATGAATAAAAATGCACAAATAAATATACAACTAGCAACCAATAAGAATATGCTTCAACTTAGAAAGCCATAAACAATTTTTTGGGGGGGAGAGGTCGGTCATTGGGCTTGAACTCTGGGCCTAAATGCTGTCCCTCAGTTCTTCAGCTCAAGGCTATCGCTCTACCACTTAAGCCACTGCACCACTTCCGGTTTTCTGAGTGGTTTACTGGAGATAAGTCTCAAGGACTTTCCTGCCTGGGCTGGCTTTGAACTGCAGTCCTCAGATCTCAGCCTCCTGAGCAGCTAGGATTACAGGCATGAGCCACAGGCACCTGGCAGTCATAAACAATATTGAATTCCACAAAGCTTCTGTATCCATGCTGTCCTATTACTGCACTGTTCATTTCATTACCATTATTCTAGATGAGTAAGTTATTCTCTGTCAAGTATCCAGATAACAGAAATTTACTCACATCTTTAGGCTTTACATAAACTACTTTCCTGGTATCTTAAGACAGAGGCTATGATACATGTTTTCTTGAAGGCTAAAAGCCACTGTGAGCATCCATTACTGGGACTATGCTGGAACACACAGTAGTATTCAGGTTGCATTTTAGATTTATTGTCTTCTCTGTTGCCCAAGGTGATTTCTTATGAAGAGCATCATGTTTGCCAATGAAGGACCCATGTGGATCATTCCCTCCCCACTTGTCCTTTTCCTGCTTTTCAGCATTCCATCCACAGTGGGAATAAGACTTGGTAAAGTCTTTTTTTTGTCGGTCGTGGGACTTGAACTCTGGGCCTGGGCGCTGTCCCTCAGCTCTTCAGCTCAAGGCGAGCGCTCTACCACTTGAGCTACAGCGCCACTTCCGGTTTTCTGGTGGTT